ATGAGCCTGACATGAATGTTCTCTCGGATTCCATGAGGATTTACAGATGTGACCCCGAGAATTTCTCAGTGTTGTGGGGGGCACTTGGTGGCTTGTTGTCTACATACAGACAACATTTCTCTTGGAGAATTCTAGATAAACGAGGAAAATGGTATGGGATGTGTGGCCATTTCTTCAGGGATGAGGGCGAGGTGCTGCTCTATGCCATCTTCCTGCTGTGTCCTGTCTTCATGCACTGGTGTGAATTCCCGGTAGAAAGGCAGGAATAAAAAAGATGTGTAGTTCAATTTTATCTTTACACCCGTCAGAGCCTAATTGGAATAGAAAAAGCTTGCAAGTCTACCTTGTGAAAAGACAAAAATATAGTCAAAACAGCAATTATTCCCTCAGTATTGAAGTTTCCTTGAGTATCTATGATGCCAAGTTTAATCAATTGTGGGGTTACGCCATTTGGAGAGTCAAGGGAAATTTCTCAGCGTGGTGTTCACAGCCAAGATAAAGCGCACATGGAAAATTAAGTGGGAGAGGATCAAGCGTGATAAATGGACAGAAGGTCACGACAAATTCAAGACTTTCTCAATGGCACTGGATCGGAGTGAAGGAGCTTCCAGCCTAGCATTGTATTTCTAACTAAAGCACTAACTTCTATATCATAGAAGGCATATTTGTTCATTTCCAGACTTAGCTTATTAATAGCTATCTGGGAGAAGACTGGTCCATTAATCACTGCCTTAGTCTTTCACTCAGCTTATTTCTTTTAGTCTCTGCCAAGGGCACAGAAGAAGTTACCAACCTGAATTTCGTGTGTCCCCTCTTGGACCAGCTGTGTATATTTGTCATTTGAAGATACACAGATATTCATCCACAGAGGATCATAAGCACTGGGAAATGTCTGAAAATGACCTACGCCGCCCAGCTGAATTGAGGTAAGTGCAAATGAAGCATGCAACAGCCAAAGTGCTTAGCTCTCAAAACTAAAGAGGAACATTCCTCAGAAATAAGTGACTCAGAAATAAGTGCATCCGTCTGTAATATTGATGACAGCACACAATTCAATTTCCTTCCCTGGAGAGAAAGGAAAGTGGATAAACACACCATACAGTTGCTTCATTTTATGAAGAGGAACTAGAATAAACCCTGAGGATGTCAGATAAAAGAGGTGATTTCAATAGTTTAACAGAAGATTACTTTTTTAGAAAGCACTTCTGCTTATCATATTCCAACGTCTACATAAATCATTGCATTTAATTTCTTCAAATAAAAATATGACGTAGGTGTTATAGCTACGTGTAACAGATGAGGAACCTAACTGGGAAAGACCCAGTAAATCTCCCACAAACCTTTCTCCTCAGTGGTCGTGTCAGATTCTGAACCCAGATTGGATTCAAATCCTAAGCTCCTTCCATTGTACCTTTTGGGGAACATCATCGGAACGATGGGACCACCAGTTTGCCTATGAGCTGGACCTGTACCTTCGAAGGCTCCCACGTCTCCCCTGTCTTTGGAATGTGGGTTCCTCTCTCCCTTTCTCACTCCTCCAGGCTGCTTGAAGGACATATCCTTGAAATAGTGATGTGGTGTTGAGAACACCTGCATGGTATATGCGACTGAAACCAGTTTAGGCCTCTTTATAAACTAAAGATTTGGTGGGAAGGTACAGGGATCCATCTGTCTTCCCGCCACCCAGGACAGTACTCATATGTCAGTTCCCTTTGCTTATTAAAACCACCCATCTGGAGGGGCCTGCCTCTTCTGTCTCTCCCTGCCCTCCTCGTAGAGGGGTCAGTTTCCCATTATAGCTGGGAAGCTACCAGGAGTGTTGCAAACCAACTGTGTCAAAGAATTTCCATCTAAAGTACGGGATCCTGAATCTATTACTTAGGGGAGTATGCCTAGGAACATTCTGCCTCTACCAGGGTGGAGAAGACCCCAGAACAACTCCTTCTTCATCACGTTGTATAAATGTCAACGCCTCCTTAACTGACCTATGGATACATTGCATCATAAAGAAAATCAATAGCATTTTGATTTAAACAAATGATAAGCTGATTCTACAATTCATATGGAATGTAAGCGATCAAAAGTTGTAAGAGCAATCTCTAAGATGAGGGAGGAGAGAGATGGAGGGGGGATGAAGGGGATAAGGGAGGAGAGGAGCAAAACCAAAGAACTACATGGCCACATATCAAGACCCGTTATGAATCTTCAGTAAATAAGATAGTGTGGTATTTGTGTAGGAAACCAAATGGACTAAAGGTTAACGATTGAGAGTCAGGTAGTAAGCCCCAAGCAGGCATGATCAATTGATTTATGACAAACTGACACACTACAGAGCAATGGGGGAGACAAAGGTCCTTTCAATAAAAGGCACCAGGTCATTGGATATGTACATGGGGAAAAAAGGAATCTTGGTTCTTTACTTCACACCGTGACAATTTTGGGTGGTCATGAATATAACTGTGAAAGTAAAGCCATAAATCTCCTAAAAGAAAATATGGGCAAATACAGTTGTGATCTTAGGGCAGACATAGATATCATTTCTTTATTTCTCCCCCTTTATTTATATCTATTTTGGCACAAGTTTATTTTTAAAAGGCATACAGGCAATAACCAAAGAAAATATTTACTCCAACCTTAACTCCTGCCAAGTATTGTCTGTCATAAAATTGTTCCACGAAGTTCCAGTCTGCTAAAGATTTTAAATCGATTAATCGTCATCCTCATCAGAATGTCTTTTCTTCTGTTGAATTGAACTGTTGTGTTTCAAGAGTTTCCACTAAACTTTGTCCTGATACCTGCCCACTTAGTCGTCCGTCTCTTGCCGTCTATATAAAGTCATTCTCTATTGCTTTCGCCTTGGGGGACTTTTCAGGTGCTAAATGGTCTGGCTGGCTGACCCGCCACTTGGCTTGCTTCCAGTTCCACTACCTCACCAGGACCAAAATAATTAAAAGCTGGGCCTCAGAGAAGGCAACGGCATACTTTCCACTTACTACCATGTTTTGTTAAGCTTCTAAAGCCATAATCTGACAGAACGTTTTTGAATACAAGCAGACGTTAGGGAAGAGAATCGTTGGACTATGAAACGGCATTTTACGTGGTAAGAATAATCCCTGGAAAATAAAATGTCCTTCAGTATGGGGGATGCTGATGATTCCAATGGCCCTTCCTTCCAGGCCATGCCGCTCCATCCCTAACACAGGACGCTCCCTCTCTTTACAATACAGTGGTTATTTGAACATTTTGTTGATAGGATTAATGTTTAGTAGCTGGCTCCTGCCCTGGACTATCAGCTTTTGTGGAGTGTGTGTTCGTCTACTCCCTGCTGTACCCTCAGCACCTGGCACACAGCAGCCTGTCAAAGAATGTTACGATTGTTGAGGTCAAAACAACTAAATTCTAGAAAAAGATTTGGCATATGGCTGGAACACTAGTTCAAGCAGGCTAGATCAAGTAGCTAAGCATACAGAGTGACCCAAGGGCCTTGAGCATTCTGCCTTGGACGCCTACCTGAGCACAGCAGAGTGGATAAGCACACGCCTTGCCTGTGCACTTAGTGGGCTTGGCCACATGAGCCACCAGGCAATAGAGAAAGGGGCTGAGGATGCCAGGCAAGGGATGAAGAGAGGGACTAAGGCCACCAGGAGAGATTTCTTAAACAGGATACAACCCCCACCATAAAACAACAAAAAAACGCACAAAACATACCAAAAAAAAAAAAAACCCAATAATCAAATTGAAAAAAAAATTTTTTTAAAGAAGCAAACCACTACTTAAAGTAAAAAAAAAAACTTGAAAAACTATAACCACAAAAACGTAGGAAATTATGCTTATCAAGCGCCTTATGAACATTAAATAAAAGGTAAGCTACCAGAGCAGGAATACAGAATTTTACAATACCTAACTCACCAGAGACTTTTTTTACAGATAACGTTAAAAATTCTTACAAATTATCAGAAATAGGTAGACCACGGAGCATGGATAAAAGACTTGCTATAGCACTTCACGTTAAGATGATATCCAAATGGTCGACAAATACAGGAAAAGTAGTTCAACCTCAGTAATCAGGAGGGAAGTGCAAGTGAAAACCACAATGTGATACCATTTCATACCCAGCAGAATATCGCAAATACGTACATACATACATAAACAAACAAACAAACAAAAAATAGCAATACTGTAAAGAACTTGCACGTTGTGCAGGGATAGGGTGGGAGGCTACCATCCGGTACAACCACTGTGGAAAACTGCTGAACAAATGCACCCATCCAGCAGCTCTATTTTTACGTACTTGTTCATCAAAAATAGACGTGTTCAGGGGCACCTGGCTGGCTATGTTGGTAGAACGTGCAGCTCTTGATCTCGGGGCTGTGAGTTCAAACTTCACAGTAGGCCTAAAAAATAAAATTGTTTCTTTAAAAAAATAGATGTGTTCAGCAAAAGACATGTGCAAAAATGTTCCTGGCCACAAACAAATGGAAGATACCCCACTGTTCTTTAACCCTAGAGTAGGCAAGTGAACAGTGTTAGATTCATGCAATGGTGGAATGCTTAACAGAAATTAAAATGACTGAACCTTGACTGCACACAACGTGGACGCATCTCACAAATATAATGGTTAGCAAAAAAAAAAATTAAAGACATGGAAGAAAGAACACATAACGTATCATTCCATTTCTACGAAGTCAGATACCTTCAAACCAATCTGTGCTGTTAAAGTGAGGAGAGCAGAATTCTTTGCAGGTGACATGAAGGGGGCCATGACTTACTGAATTTTACTTTGAAGAAAAACAAATGTAAACATTTATCCCATATTTCTGATATATTTTATGAAGTAAAAAATGTAATTAGGTTTGTTTGCTCCGTTAGATCACTGTGATCATTAAGGATGTGATATAGCGACCAGTTATCCATACAAATGTATGTTCTTGAATATGGTTGCACTTGCTCGTAGGGAAACAAGGAAAAGGGATATATATTTGATATCCTTACCATGAGAAAAGTATCTCCGTGTGCATTCCTAACCGACTTCTTCTAAATAGCTTAGGCGATGATAATTGTGAAGGCAATTTTGATCAAAGATTGCCATTTCAGATAAAGAATTCGGTGAGTTCCTGAGAGAACATTCCCAAATAAAACAGCACAGGTGACAGAAATAAATGTTGATACTTACTGGCACAAAAGACACAACAGTCCTTTGGGCCCCTAGCATGAGAAGTAATACAGAGTGAGCTGATTCTATGACAGCCAGAATGGCTGCTGTATTTCAGGGCAGTCCCAGTTTTGAAGTGTGTCTGACGCAATTTGTTTATTGGAGAAGCCAGTCGGCAAATCAGGTGGAGGACCACCATCGCCTGGACACCCAAATGACAAGGAACATCAAATGGTAGCTTGAACACAGTACCTCAGCGCTTCCGCAGGAAACTCTTTGGAACAGACACCATGATTTTCTTTCATCAGAATTCCTTTGTCCCACTGTTCAATGAACCCCATGAGTAATCCATAATGCATGTTTGTTGGTTGATGGCAATGACAGGAAGGAAAAAAGGCAGAAACATTTCATCTGTTCTTTCCTGTATGTGTGACAATTAGGAATCCCAGGAATCAGTGAAATGATTATCTCAACACCCATTGTACCTGCGGGCCCTAAACACAGCCACTCAGAATGCTTCTCAGAGGGGGGGCACGTGGGAAGTTAACAATCCCCTCATGTCCGCCTTCCTCTTTCTTTGTCCTTCCCTCTGTCTCTTCAATCGCCTGTGTCACAGGACACATATAAGAAGTTGGGAAATGTTAAACTCTGACAGTAAAGCAGTATCAGAGTTAAAGGTCAACGTTTATAATCAGTCACCTTCAAACACAAGCTAGTGAATAAAGAACTCCAGCTCAAAGGGCTAAGTATTTTGCATTCTTGAGAAATCTCCATCAGTTTCTCATTCCAGTGAGTATTGTCACACTTGCACTTTGCTGCCACAAACTAAGTGAGTGTCCTTTTCTGAGTATAGATTCGTCACTTAATGATCTGCATTAGGAGACTGAAAGAAAACACTTCGTATCCTTGTAATTTTTAAAAATCCGTCCACGAAAAAAGAGCCAGCTCTTCCTGTAGGGGGAACATTCTCTCGGAGGTACTCTAAGGCCAGTGAGTCCATGTCACTTCTGGTTCTTTTAACAGATTCCGTGGTGCCACCCTCGTCCTCTTCCAGATCAGGAAGCCCATTCAGCAGTATTGCAACATCTTCCTACACGGCTTGTCCCCTCACCAAGATTCGTCAGTCAAATCCAAGATCCTTCCGTCTCTCTGCACCTCACTGTCCATTCTCCTGCCGCTTTGATCTTGTCACATCCGTGTTGAGGCAGTGCTCCACCTGTTTCTGCCATTAACGTTCTATATATATCTAAAGTTTAATTATTTTTGAGAAAGAATAAAAATGCAAGCAGGAAAGGGGCTGGGAGAGAAAGAGAGAGAGAGAGAGAGAGAGAGAGAGAATCCCAAGCAGGCTCAGTGCTGTCAGCACAGATCCCAAGGTGGAGATCGAACCCACAAACCATGAGATCATGACCTGAGCAGAAATCAAGACTTAGACACTGAACCGACTGAGCCACCGAGGCGCCCCCAAATTATATGTTTTAATAAAAGCAAATAAGGTCCTTTTTCAGAACTGTGTTTCTTTTCTCAACCAATAGCAAATATATAATCAACGTATTTTCCTTGTTTTCCTTGCCTGAAAATGAACTCAAACAAAATGACTTTCCTAATCTAAATTGTAAAACATCTGTTGCTACTCTTCTGGCTCTTCCTGTCCCGCGGTCTACCTCTGAGCAATCCTTGCGTGGCTTTGACTTTGCATGTTTACTTTAGCAACTTCCAGCTGTCGTGCTGTGCCGGTTAGCGCCATGTTGCCTTTCGGCTCTACAGTCACTGTTTATCGCAGCTCGGAGGTACGGAATCAGAACCGCTTGGAGTTTCTCAAGGTGATCGTAACGTTGAACTTTCTCAACAGAGGGTGCTAGAGGGACACTGAAGGAAGAAAGGACTCTCCCCTGTTCCCTGCTGCTTCCAGGTAGGTTAGCCCAATGAGAAGGAGGTTCTGTAGCGGCACCCTGCCCCAGTCTTGTGCCCATCACACAGAGTCCGTCCCATGTCAACCTTGCAGCCCTTAAGTGGCCCGGCCATCACCTTCCTGTGGTTCTCCCGACAGGGATGCTATCTCAAGCCTCTTACCATGCCAGCTTCCATCTGCAAGCCCATACACCTGACCCACCTCCCAGCTCCGCCCTGCAGGATTGCCGTGGGGCTGGGCTCCCGCTCACCGAGCACACCCGTGTGCCTGGCCACCACGCGCCGTTCACGTCACAGTCACCCAGTGCTCTGGTGCCCCTTCAGCAGCCCAGGTCCATGTTGCAGCCATCACCTGCAGGTCACTTATGCGCTGCCTGAATTCTGGAGGGTCGGTTTCTGCAGATCAGCTCTAGTGCATGCCATGCCGCCCGTCAACTTCCCTGGCATCTAGTGGGTTCCAGCTACAGCCTTGGGAGGGACCCTGTTTGAAGTTTATTCTTCTCTTGCTACCCTCTCCCAGCCCTGGGATTACCATGTAGAGTTTCTTTTATATCCTATAGTTAATCTTTTATCGAAGTCTAATAATGCTTCATTAAAAAAAATATGACGTGATGTCTGCGTCGTGATTGGCCCCATTGATGCTTGCACATTTTGGCCTACAATAAAGGTAAATGTAACTTAAAACTTGTAATATTCGAGCTTCCACTGGTATTGAGCCAGATACCATCTAAAGTTTCAAATAAAAAAGTGACATTTTAGAAATAAAACTTTCCAAACTGCACAAATCCATTCGGAGTATTTAAATTTCTTAAATATTTTGAATAACAAGAATTCATACCTTTAAGTCTGCAAATGCGTTCACTATCAGGATCAGAATGTTGAGTATTTGCCTAACGTTGACAAAAACACAGAACTGGGGACAGTCACTCCTGGACTCACAGGAATTTTAGAAAGTAACATACCCCCCACTCCTTATAGCTCCCATCAATGCAAAACGGCAAAACTCTTACTTGAGTTAAGATTTTTTGTAGCCGAGCCTCTAGCTTACCAGTGTCTTTCTCCCTGTGGTTATTAAACCTAGAACAGAAAAAAAAAAAAATCACTTGATTTTAATTTATATTCTTCTAGTCAGAGAATAGGTGTTAGCGGGGGTTCCTGGTTGTTTTTCTGAGGCTAAATTAAACTGTAGCACCAAATGAACGTTTCATGTAACTTGCTACAGTGTTTACTCATGGTGTAATTGCTCAGCACCACTGTGGACAAACCTCTGCAAGAAAGGTGAGGACAAATGAGTCATAATGGAGGGTAAACACTTCACCTAAAACAAGGAAACACGGGCAAATGTCCTACCTTCTAGGGTTGGGAACAATCAGTTCAGGAAAGAATCAAAGTCTCTCATTGTTAATGGGGCACAAGTAATGTGATTGTGGCAATGGGCGCAGGAACGGAGGGAGGATTCGGAATTCAGGGAGCGTATAGAGGCGACAATCTCCTCACCTGGCATGGTAGAAAGTCAAGTTGTAAAGAAGCAGGCAGAAGACCAGAGCATCTTTCTCTAGAGAAACCAGACGGTGAGGGAGAAGGCACTAATATTCACTAGGATCTGGAGACTCCCACCCCATACTTGTCAGCAGACGGGACACCCCAAAACTTAGTGGTTCAAATCATGTAGAACTTGGTTTTTCTTTCATGGAAAAAAGAGGTATAAGAGCATGTAGGATGGTCAGCAGCCCTGCCCAGTATGGTCAACCAGGGACCACTGTCCCTTTCTGCTTGTTGTCTCCACATGCCTTGGGGTGCTGTCCTCCTCAGCAAGGCGGAAGTTGGCTCCAAGCACCCTGTCAGCCCTTTGCATGAGGAAAGAGGAAGCAGAGAACAAGCAGGGGAGTGACTGGGAAGTTGCAGCCGTGGGGAGGCTCTTGCTGAGGGGTCACGTGTCCTGCTGATATTTAAAATGGTGGAAGTGAGGGGCGCCTGGGTGGCGCAGTCGGTTAAGCGTCTGACTTCAGCCAGGTCACGATCTTGCGGTCCGTGAGTTCGAGCCCCGCGTCGGGCTCTGGGCTGATGGCTCAGAGCCTGGAGCCTGTTTCCGATTCTGTGTCTCCCTCTCTCTCTGCCCCTCGCCCGTTCATGCTCTGTCTCTCTCTGTCCCAAAAATAAATAAAACGTTGAAAAAATAAAAAAATAAAAAAAAAATAAAATGGTGGAAGTGATTCTGTTCCTTAAAATAAAAGCGGGAGGGGTTAATTTAGGAAACCAAGGAGCAGTTTCTGCCACAACTGCAATTTAAATGCCTCACTGTACCATCAACCCTGCAAGTAAGCCTAATGCCGGCAAAAGTTGTTCATGTCCAGAGAACTTTAAATTAGGTGATTTGGGCTTTGCTCTTATAAAAAGAAAAACTGACCAATGATCGTTCGCACACTATAAAGAGAATGCCTCTCTATTTTAAATAGCTCCATGGAGACAAGAACGAATCTAGTAGAAAGTACAAGATGCAATTTTTTGGAACAAAGAATAAAAATCTTTTGGAAGCTATAATGAAATGGTCTTAAAAGAAATTGAAATATTCAACAAAGGGCCTGGAACGTAAAGCCAAAGAAATTTCTCGAAAAATATGTGGAGCGTTGAGGGTAGGAATGAAGACAAAATGCGTAACAAAGGTACCTAATGAACAAAGGGAACAAGATTGGGTTAATTTTATGTCCGTGAAGAGAAAACAATGAAGAAACATTATTAAAGAAGTTATATGAGAAAATTTCTCAGAACAGAAGAACATGAGTTTATAGATTAAAAGGGCTCATCAAGAACTGCATATAATACATGAAAAAATGAAATTTAGCAAAGTTCTTGGCATGATATTTTAGAACATCGTGGGTAATGAGTGTATCCTAGAAGTTTCCAGGGTAGGGGGAAACATCAGGTCAGAAGGTAAGATACGCTCTGACTTCTCAGTAGCTGTACTGGAGTTAATAGGACAATGAGGAAATTCTTTTTCCTCTTTGACAACGGAGAAATTCTTTCAAAATGAGAGGGAAAATTATTTTAACCTAGCTTTCTATACCCAGCTGAATTCTCAATCAAGCGGCAACCTAAAGACGGTTTCAAATATGTTAGGACGCCTATTTTTACTTCCTATGCATCATTTGCCAGGTAGTTCCGAAAGGATAGGCTGCAGGAAAATAAAAAAGCAACAGAGAAGAAAGCACGGATCCAAGACCCAGAGCAAGTAACAAAACCGAATCTGCAGACGTGAAAGCAGTCGCTGCACAATGCAGTATACAGATGTCCCGTCTATATCACTAGGACGCTGCACTTCAGCACAGTCTGGACAAATTCCAAAGGTCACTTCTGCCTCCTTTTTTGCTCAGACTTCTTCCGGAATCATTTAAAGGTACTCTGCCTTTTTACCTGTAAGGACAAAAGGGAGGTAATCAATCAACACCTTCCAGAAGCAGATCTCACTTAACAACTGATGGCAACTATCGGATCGATACCCCAGCTCCCTCACCTGAGAGTGGTTACCTACTTTGAGGTGTGAATTCATCATCTTTACCAGTTTCCCTGGGATTAGGCTCTGCTCATCCTAGTAGACCTTGGGAGAACAATCCATGGAGACTAAAAAGGGAGTTGATAAGTATGTGTTGTCTCCAAACATTGGGACAATTTCGAGGGACTGAAAAATCTCTTGGAGCACTTAGGAGGACTTGGAAATAGAAAGAGGGATAACGAAGCAGGCAAACAACATCACTAAAAAGAACACTATCGACCGGCGTAAAATAAAAGACCTTTGTAAAGAAAAGAAACATGCCCACAGAACACTACTTGCTCAGTGCAGTGATAATAAGTAAATGTTATACTACTGCTTTAACTAAAAAAGCAGATGACTTGATCTTTGGCTGTGAACGGTAGATAAATGGATAATTCCTTTAAAAAGAAAAAAATATATACTCTCTAAAAAATATGGTGATAAATACCCGGAAAAAAAATGCCTCAAGAGGTGACAGTGGATCTCTGGGACAAGGGAAAAGGAATTGTGCGGGTCTGATTGGTTCACTACTTTGCTAAAGGTGCACATATTTTAAACTAATTTCAAAGATAAGTAGAGTTGCTAGGTCAAGAAACAGTTGCACTTGTAAGGTGGTTTATAATTTATACAATTATGTACAAAAACTGAAATGTTCAACACGAAATTTCAATTAAAAATGGAAAGAGAGAAAGGAAAAAAAATGAAATGGAGTCATTTATACCCAACTTTATTATTTCAGTATTTGTTTGCATATACATGCATTCAATTTAGACAATTTTGAGATGCATATATACTATTCATCTAGGACCTGAGACATTTATCCACCGAAGAATATACTGTTAAAGAATGAAGGAAGAATTCATATCAGTGTGGAAATAAGACTCGGCACTG